GAGGAATAGTGAATTTAACAGCTAGATTGATAGGTGAGTTGTAAGTAAAAGTACATAGCTAAAAACGATATTGATTCATATATATGCACATATATATATATATATATATATGCATATTCTTCAAAAGAGAAAATATTTCTGAATATATATTAGTACTGCTAAATGCTACTACCATCAGCTTTTAGATGCAATCATGCGATTTTTATGCACATCATTCATTTATTTGTTTTTAATCACTTAATTTAGTTTCCAGAGCTTGAATTTACAACGGCGGCGCCTGTTTGGTTTATTTGTAACTAGATAAAGAGGAGTTGGACATCACTTTATTGGTTCTGCATGGAATGATTCAAGAGATCTAATCTATCGAATCCAGTACAACGCCTATTGACCCTAGTGACATTGAAATTCGTAAATATGCATTGGTAAGCTGCATATTGTTGAAAGTTAAGAATTTGAACTAAGTATTTTTACTAGGTCTTTGGCAAGGTAATAATGCCGTGGCCGAAATCTATTCGCGTGTGTGCTTGCGCACGGCATTACCCTGTATAAGCAATTATGCTTGAGATTGGTAAATATCTCAGTGAGGAGAAAAAATCAGGTCCAACCATGAAGGTAGGTCTAAGGGAAATGTATTTATCCTAACTCGGGCACAAAGACTTTTTCAGCTTTGCCCATATAGAATAGCTGAGTAAGCCCTTATGAACACAATGTTAGGTACACAATTCCCTACCTTCCCCCTAAATTAGGTCTCGGTTTAAGAATTAAAAAAGGCATTGAGATGGCAATGACACCGCAAGTTTAAAATAATATCTGCTAATGGGAATATATGCTATATTCCAGGTAATGTGAGTGAGAATACGGAGCTAAATTTCTACCTTATGTTTAAACACTGCCATAAAATGTCAGAAGTCATGTTTAGTACTCGTATTGCCGGATAAGCTCAAAGTCCCGTAAGAGACAAATCTTGGTAAGATTTTTCACCGAAATGTTTTGTTAAGATAAATCCAATCAGCAAAGAGCTCGCTGTCATAATGTCATTTTTTTTATTATTAGTTTACAAATTATGCATGGCATCCTTTGTAGCCCGCAAGTTGTTTAAAAGTTTGTCTTGAGCACTTACCAAGCCACAATATATTTATATTACCAACTCGTGTAAGACCTGCGCATTAGGCCATGAAAAGCTGTGGCAAGCGTTGCGTAAGACGATATAAGATGAAGATCACTATTCGAGTAGAGAAAGTCTTCTCAAATACCCCCAATTATGAAAGTGGGCAAATTTTGCCTTACATACGAGTATCTCGAAAACCTTACTCACCTTCTTCACATTAAAACTTCTTTGGATATATACTTTTTCGAATATTTAATTATATATTATTTAAAATATAGCTAGACAACCTGTCTTAATAAATTCGATAGAAGGCCGATAAATATAACATTGTGTCATTTTGGTTCTGCCTTTCAGGTAAATGCAAAATCACCACTTATGAGGTTTTATGCTCAGCCTCAAATGAAATCAGAAAGTTTATCAACCACCTAAATTTCAATTCTAATTATTCCTTTATATAATTTGATGAGGGCAATGAGTTTAAATACGAAAAGTTTCTAAAATCTGTTGTCACATTTTGATTTTGCTTGCCTCTCTTGCCCTTCACATATAAGGCAAGAAATACCCGACCTCTAAAGAAAGCCAATAAATCCCATTCTATTGACGATTTCTGGAATTAACATTAACAGGTTTCCGTTTAATTTAAATTATTTTTCGTCGTATATATTTTACTTTCTTTATACAAGCTGGCGAAAAGGAAGTAAATTTAAATTGTTTAATAAGGTCATCTTACAAGGAATAATAGTTAAATGTGAAGATTAACTTTTGGATCATCCATATATATTATATTAGCCCTGAAATATTGTGATTAAATTTGCTTAGCGAGTTTACACAAATGAAGAATAGTAAATTAAACATGGAAAGGGATTCATGCCGGAAAGGTTAAAAGGCTACTTTGTCAGATAAAAATAATCTTTCAGAAGGAACTGGCCAATACAAATTATCTGTCATTTAGATATAATCATCAATTTTGGTCCCAAATACTTCCGTGATAGATTCAGCTTGTTAGGTACTTCTTTTTATCTAAAAAGATGATTGAAAGATATTTAAAAATTGGCCCTAAAAGGTTGCCTTGCAGTTTTGACTGTCGAATTTTGCAAAAAGTCGTCGACACACCGTTCTGTGATCTCAGTTCATTCGAGATGAGATTTCGTCCGTCCCACCATGACAGTCATCGTCATGGTAAGAGATTATTTATGAAAATGACTCTTGATTCAACGTTTCTGTCAATTTTCTGAAATGACGGATTAACCGTGTTTTAGGACGGTTTACTGAAGATTCATTATTAAAAATCTGCACTTGCAATTACAAGGCGATCCCTTTTTCGGCATCTGCTATGGTTACTTGGGAAATAATTTCTATTCGCCTTTACAAATAACAGCATTGTCTATCTTTTGGCATAATCGAAATTTACAGAGGGCGGAAAGCAATTATGCACATTCATGAAGGATGCTTATTACAGATTGGGCAAGGATATTATGTTAATCTTAAGCTAAAGCCAGACTCCGTAAAAGGCCCTGTTTTAAGATATAATTCTAATCGTTCGTAATCAATTAGAGCAGCACGAATTTAACTCGTATTTTTTTATATAAAGCTCTAAAAGAACTTTTGGCGAAAATCACGAATATAACTACCACTTTTCTGTTAAGTAAAGTTGGGTTTCGAAGAATTTCTTGGGTTACGATTGCTGAGTCTATTTACATTGAGTGAATATATCTGATCAAGATATTCTGAGGTCACTTCCATCAGAAGACTACGACAGCTTCCTTTTAGTCATATGTCAACTGGTTTTATGTTTATAAGTGGGGTTTCGAGACTGAAAAATCTCATGTCAGCTGATTTTGTTTGGTCTAAGCTGTGTCCGAGACAACCGCCTTCGATTCCGGTCAAATTGTGCAGAGCTGAGTAGACGACTCATTTTGGTCATAGCTCTAATTACAAGCACAATTTTCACAGGTCTTAAGTCCCTCTCCCTATCTCCTTCTATCCTTCTCTCATTTTAGACTACAGACACAGGGACAGAAAGCTCATTAATTTAACCGAACGTGAATACAACATTACGTAATCGGAGGGATGGTTAGAATAAAACAAGGAGCTTAGGGTGTCACAAATCCATTTATAATAACGCATATTAGCACACGCATACTTCTAAATTTGCGCATAGCTCGAACCAACAAATTCATATTATACCTCATTGCAATGTACTTGTTTAGATATATATATATAGCATTTGTGGTGAGTTTTATTGACTTATTCACTAGGAAATGTTTGTAAGAATGATATCCCGCGAATGGCATACGATTGCTCAACAATATTTCACCGAAATCAAATAAAAGTGACTCGAGAACAGCGTTAAATGGAATGTTACAATAAAGCCAGCCGACATCTGGCTAAGGGGATTCTGCCATTGTATGCTGGTGAAAATGACCTTAGAATCCTAACTTCATACACTTTCACAAAAGTAAAAGTGGGGTCAACATTTTGCTTTTGTTGGCCTGAATGCATATATTAATTTTTAAGGCAATTTTCCATTCGCAATTTTCCACGATACACTCGCCTGCACAGGAAAGAAAGCTGCTCCAAAGAGACATGACTTTCTGCAGGCAGCAAGAAAGGCGAGGCCAGCAAGCAGTGCCAACTCTGCCTGTCTGAGCCGGTAGTCTTCGATGTTGCTGTCAACCAGCTCTTGTATGGTGCATGTGCAGCTGGCTTTCGACTGATCGGCGACAACAAGCAGCAGATGCTGATGCAGGTTGGCGATACTTTCACGAACCAGACTACCTCTGGGAGTACGTGCCAGAGCCAATGTGGAACCAGTCGTGGGCTGCCGCCCAGCCAGTGATCCAAGTCCCATTGTTGGGCCACTTGTGACTGATCCATTCGACGTCTGGCCCAACAGGCTGCCGACAGGGGCGACGGGTATGGAGAGCATAGAGACAGAACTGGTGAGGGGCCTATCTCCGAGGCTTGGCTCCAGCCGGCTTTGTTCTCCAGTTTGAGAAGAGTCGGACCCTGGCGAGTGATGCTGCTTGCGCAGGGAGCGTGGACCGAGGGAGGATAGAAAGCCATGCATTAAGTCCGAGTTTGCTTTGGTGGCGAGGTTCTGGGACGTTGCGTTTGGATCCAGACCGAGGGGCTGAAGCGGCTTTTGCAGCGATGGCGATCCGAACGGTCCAGCAGATACTCGTTGCCCTTGTAGACATTGCTGGCGTGATTGAGGCTGTTGAGGTGACTGAAGCTGGCGTCGTTGACGAACGCTATCCGCGGCTTGAGCTGTCAGCTGGGAGAGTATGCACTGTACATACTCCATCACTAACTGGACAGGTACATGTGGACGCAGTTGCTGTGGCAAAATGCGGAGAGCCGCCCACGACGCCTCTGGACTGACGTAGTCATGACGCGATCCTGGTTCTGATTCACTGGGAAAGGCAGCCGAAGGGGCGAATACGGAAGAGGAGGAGGAGTTTGGTAAGATACAAGAGATTGAATCAGAGGTG